AATTGAAAAATTCTGAATCAATTGTAAATTCAAATTCAAGAGATCAATCTTGACGGTTACTACGATTAATTCTGTATTAACGAAGCGGTTTGTAAAATAAAATACTCTCGATTAGAAATTGGATAAGATCGTTTAATATACGAAGTACAGAATTAACGCATTATTCGATGACGTTTACGCGAGTTGTAAGCTTGCCAAGAGGGGATGGAAGGTTCATAAAAGCTTCAGTTTCGATTTCTTGCCAGTTGTTGAACTGCTAACTTCAACATCTAGCCGTTTAAACGGTGATAGTATTCGAAACCATTTCACTAGACAGGGATTGACCTGTTATGCAATACTTTTGATACACTTTCGCCAATATTTCGTGTTGTTCTTTGTGTCATGTTCATTTTTCCGAATGCGATTGAACGTAACACGGAACGGGAACTAGTAATGCGATAACGCGCCGGTCGATGAGTTCTCCGCGAGTGCCATCGAGTTCTCCAGAATCGAATACTTATTGTTAGACGTGGAATTCTCGGATTTTAGAGTCTCTTATCGTTGAATTTTTTTAAGTATCGAGTTCCTTCAAGTCGAAGATTTATATATAGAGTTCTGTGATCTTGCCTTTTTATTAATTTTGAGTGCACTGACGTTGAGTTCGTTGAAATTGTTTATCAAAGTTCATTTTACAGAGAGGTCTTTTTCAAATTGAATTCTTTGGCTTAGAGTATTTTAAATATTGAGTAACTTAATGTTGAACATCTTTCAAATCGAGTTCTTCGATTTAGAGTTTTTTAATGTCGAAGATCGTTCAATTGACATGTTTGACTTAGAAGTTTCTAAATGCGAGTGTTTAGATATCGAGTTACTTAAAGTACAAGATTCATTATCCAGAACGCCTTGACACTGAGTACTTACTCTGACTTTCAATCATTAGAAAAATTCTGTGTTCTGATAAAACAGTCCTCTGACGTTCGACATTTCTTATTTGAATTCTTCAATTTCGAGTGCCTTCACATCGAGTATTTTTCTTTTACATTCACTGGAAAGTATTCAGATCTACTTCATCTCGTTCTACCTTTTATAATTATAATTTTAATTATTTTATCTTCCAGCACACGATGTTTCCCATAAGGGACGAAACGATGGTTATGAGCTCGAAAGTAGCCTGTCCCTCATCCACCCTTTGGTTGTTCCTCACCTTTGAATACCTGATTGGCATGTTCATATCTGTTTTTCTGGCCATTCTCACGATTATCAAATCATTGTTACCGAAACCGCCCAGAGATTTGACCGGAGACGTTGTACTGGTAAGAATTTTCCCCAATTTTTCAACTTTAGCCAAAAATATTCAAACGTTCAAATTTTAGGCAACCTTCCAACATTCCAATCTCGGAGCATTCAAAATTTCAAGTTTTCAAATTTCAAACATTTAAATCTCAATTATCCAAATCGCAAGCATTCGAGTTGCTGGTATTCAAATTTTCGAGCGCTCAAATTTCGAACGTTCAAATTGCGAATACTGAAATTTCAAGCATTCAAATTTGAAATATTCGACTTTCAAACATTCAAAATTAATAGATACCTATTGGTAAGAATTTAAGCCACTTTTTTCCATTATTCAAAGCTTCCACCATTCTACTTCCGTTGTTGATCGATTATAATTCATCAATTATGAATAAAAATCTTAACTCGTTCCCTTTGAACGCAATTCTCTTTACACTAAGCATTCGAAGTTCTTCAAAATTTACTTTGAACCAACTTTCTTAAATATTTTCACATACAAACTCTATTTGTTCAAGTGTAAAAGATTATTAAAACCCTACTCACATTTAAAATAATCCATTAAAAATCATATAAAGAAGAAAAATTCCTTTTTTCTTCAGGTCGCCGGTGCTTCGTCGTCGTTAGGTGAATCTTTAGCCGAGGAATTCGCGAAAAACGGATGTTCCGTGATCTGCGTGGACAACGACTCGTCTTCTATCAAAGAAACGGAATCCAGATTGAAAAGACAATATCCCACGATAAAAGAAGTTAGGCAAAGTCAAAGAAAAGATGAGTCCTCGCGATGTAAACCAACGATATCAGCTTACGAGTGTAATTTATTGGACAGAGAGGAAATCAGGAGAACTGCTCAAAAAGTCAAAGAAGATGTTGGCAGAGTGGACGTTCTGGTGACTTGCGTTGGTAATCCAAACCAGGATATCTTCGACACAGCCAGTAGAACCTTGATGAGTCACTTTTGGGTACATTTCTCTTCGCTCGATTCTTTTTTTTTTCTTTTCAAGTGACAACTGTCTGAGTCGTTTCTTGAGTTTGGTTTCACACGAGAAAACAGATATTCTTTTATGTAAAATATTCTTATGAATAAATTCAATCGTACTAAAAAATTTGTTCCGAGGATCAAGGGAACATTATTTTATGAGTAATTAATAATTGTTTTACGTTAATTAAGGGAGAATTGTTTTTTAGAAAAAGGATAAGCAAATGCACACTGTTTAAAAAAATTCCTTAATGAGACGAGAAATAATAATGATGAGTTTAGGAGGAATAAACGAAGTATAGTTTAAAAATAATAACTTTTCTCTTCACAGACAGTTCTGGCATTTCTTCCATTGATGTTGTACAAAGAAAGAGCTCATATTGTTGGAGTGACTCCAGTTGCATCGACCACTGATGCCTATCATGGTTCCAGAGCAGCTATAGTGAGTCAGTATCTCATCACAACTTCATTTACCAGAAAAGGAATCTTGGTACTTTTGATTTGTTAATTCTTCCATAATTCATTTGTTTGTTACAGGTCTTATGGAAAGTCTGTGTCAAGAATTAAGCAACCACAGTAGCCACCTAACATTCTTAGCATTTTCACCAATTGCAGAATGCAGGTAATAATATTTGAAATATTCAAAGTGGGTTATATATAATTCAATTGAACGAATTTACTCATTATGTAACCAAGATATTTGAGAATGGGAATTTCCTTTCACTTTAAAAATAATACTACTTTCTCCGACATAATTGTTTATTAATCATTCTTCAAGCACACTGAAGCAGAGTGAGGAACAGGTGGCTAGAAATATAGTCAGAGCAATGAAGGCTGATCAAAATAGCCTAAGTGTCAGCTGGATATCCAGAATACTGTATCAAATAAGGTAATGAAAAAAAAGAAACTGAAATATTCAAAAACTTCCAACAAGTATCGAATTTCACTTTTTACACTTTCTTATTTTTCAGTTGTGTGATCTACAATGGAATAACGTTACTCACACAGTGGATCCACTCTCCAGGCTGCGATTACCCAGTATAAATCCAATTCCCCCTCTCATTTACGTTAAATAGAATCATTAAAAGTGAATAGCTCACGGACGACGATGGCGAAACCGATCTTCTTCCAAAAGAAAGCTTGAAAAATCTTCTCATCTCGGTAAAAAAGAAAAATAACTGAAACCTTAAGATTTATCCACAAAATATTCAAAAACTTTATTCCAATCATTCGTACATCATTCGGCAGTTATAATACAAAAAAATGCCTCTATAAAAATAATCAAAAATGTAAAAAACAAAAAAAAAATACACTTAAGAAGATTCACAAAGTACAGATTGATCGAAAGTAGAGAAATAAAAATTCAGAATCATCGGACAATATCTTTTTGCTCGAAGAAGAAGGTCCGGAATCAGTCAGGAATGAGTACGTCGTAATGGCCGCTGTCTGAGTTTCCGGTGAATAGAAGCCTGGCTGTGTTGTATTGCGAACTGACATGATTGTGAAACACTCGTTTCAGTTCATGTCTGTCATGGATCTCACGATAGATCGACAGATTCATGTAATAGATTTTTGTGGCCACAATGCATTCAAGTTCACTGGCGAACGTGCCCACCATGTTCATGTAATTGCCATAAGTTTGACGATCGGATATGTTCCATTCGGCCATCACGAACGACCCGTACTCGTGCCAATTTTCTTTGATGTGTTGCACGACCTGTTGAGAAGAATTTTTCTCATTTTGTATCATACAACCTTATAACTAAACTGCGGATGTTTATGCAATTATAACTGAAGAGTATGTTCTACAGGAGAAAAAAAGATGAGTATGCACTTGATGTTATTTTAAGTAAAATAAAGTTTTAAACACTGAAGACTATACAGGATGTTTCAGTTCAGCTTAACAGTATGGAATTAATTAACATTTACTTTACAGTCACAATTTAAAAAAGCTCAAAAACACTGTACAATTGCACACTTTCTAATCTTTTCTCCATACAAACACTGATACTATCATCTTTTTTCCCATGTACTGTTATTGTTTAAATGGCAATAACTTGTAACTTACATCTTTTTTTCCATACCTAAATGCAAAACTAAATTCTATAATAAAAAGAATACATCCATGTGAATTCAAATATCATAATAGGCAAAAATAGACTTTTATCCTTTTTTCCATTGACTCTTCAACTTATTAAAATATGCAAAATACATGACTGTAATTATATTTATCTATGGATTAGTGTTGTTGTTTACGTATATCAAGAGATTCTAACGTTACTCTCGTGTATTTTCCATATTTTGATACATTAAAATTGTATAAACATCCGCAATCTATTCATGACCCTCTAAAATGATTTTCATATCTCTGTTTATGGTTAAAATTATTTATCTTTATTATTATTATTGATCTTACAGAAATTTTTGCAATATTCATAATTAAGAAGTTGAAATAGTAAAGTGTATTTTTAATGTTAAACAGAAATGTAAAAATCACCTGAAAATATGCAAAATATAGGGGAGAGTCGTGCAGTACCGGCCAAAGCTAGATCTCGCTTGTACTGTTAGTTGACTGCGCTATTGATGGATAAACAAATAATTACTAACTGCCCTCAGCATCGTATTCCGGCGACGTTCTTTTTTCTTCAGTATTACCAGAGTTCTAAGACGTTTAACGTTTACGCTGATGTTCCGTACGACAAAAGTTATTTTTCATAGCTGATTTCTAACTTTTCAGGTAATTAAATAATTTTGTTATAGTACGTACATTATTTTTAAACTATTAGGTATACATAAATGCCCCGGTTTGTGCAATTTGTTTTGTATATTTCGCATTAAACCTAAAAGTTTTTCCACGTGCTTGTTGTGCAGTACCGGCCACCCTATAGTCGTCCAGTACCGGCCAAACTTTTTTTAAATATTTTCCTGTAATTCAAGTCGCTAGGTTTTTCTTCTTTGTTTTTCTGCAGAAAAATGTCCGAAATGAGCAAGCGTATCTTCTGATTTTATGAAAATTGTTAAAAACATCAGTCCTGCAAATAATATTTCAGAAACAAGGATAACACAGAGAAAACGACGGACGCAACAGTCTGAAAATCTAACATCAATATCTTTTATACAAGATGTTCAGGAAAAAAAGAAACTGATTAATGAGAAAAAATTGAAAGCAAAAACAAGAAAAGCTGAAAAAATACTAAAGAAAAATGAAAAAATCAAGAAAGGAAGGGAGTTACGAGAAGAGATAAGTAAGAAAAAAGATAGCTCACGAAGAAGGAATCTAGGTATTGACGAACAAGTCACCGAGTGCATCATTTGTAAAGAATCCTTCAATGAAGATTGGGTGCAGTGCGTCAAATGCAACGGTTGGGCTCACGAGGAGTGTACGGATCAAGAAAATATCGATCACTTTACCTGTGATATTTGTAGACGTACCTAAATAAAAGTTCTATTCTATTTTTAAATGATTTTTACTAACATTATTTATTACTTAGACCTT